AACATGTGTGACTGGTTCAAGAGTGAATACAACTTGCAAACAGCTTACAACCCAAAAATGTGGAACAGCCACAACTGAGACTTAAAATTATTTTACATCTGATTATATAATGCTCAAGACTAAAATTATATCCTGTTTAAAAAAACGAGCAGAGCACCAGAGTACTCAAGTAGTGGGAAACTTGATTTAGGCTTATTTATTTTCATTTATTTCTTGTCTTCATTCCTCATAATTAAAACAATACTTTAAAATCAAATCCCTTCTGAAGCGCAAAGTGCAAATTAACTGTCAAATGTCTCAAGTACGCAGAATAAAATTCACGAGTACTCAAGTGATAAGAAAAAAGAGATAATCCTGTGTGTCAGCTGCAGCTACACAGTATCTGTTATCTTCATCATTGCAAATTATGAGCATGACACTTAAATGTAACAAAATAGTTAAAAGAAAAGAAGAATTTGACTGGAATATCCATAACACTTCTGGAAAACTGCCCCTGGTGTGAATGTGTTTGTGTCTGTGTGTGCCCAGCCATGTGCCCCCACTGCTTGCCAGGACAGGCTTCAGCTCCCCTTTGACCCTGTACTCAAGAGTGGTTACAAAATGGATGTCGCTGTTGTGTACAAAAGGTGGCACCCAGCAGAGAATGTGTTTTAGCAGTTCCGGCACAGAGATCATACAATCCATGGACCTGCAGTCCAGGTTAATCTGTTGTTGTCCAATCTGTAGTGAACACACCCATCACTGATTGATTTAAATCTGAACTCTTCTATACATTTTACATTGAAACGTAAAATAGCTTCATGCAAAACATACTGTATGATATCAGTTGAGTCAAAAAACAAGGAGGCTGTAACTACTTTAAGAATCAGGAGTAACTCACCCATATATCTCTTCATCTTCAGGACTGGGACGGAGATTAATTTTGGGGACTGTATTTACTACAGCTGCAAAAAACAATTACAGTTTTAATTAGAAATATGATAACTGATACAGGGATTACTAGGGGACTTTATCAGTTGAACGGCATTAAACATTAGGTCAAATTACCTATTCTAATTGGGCTTTTTATAGGCTTTATAACTACTGGCAGGCACACACATAGGTAAGGAATAGATATAATAAGTAAAATAATAAGGAAGACTAAGATATTTATCACTTAAAAATAACTTGGAGCTTGAAATACAATGTGAGAAGATGCACACAAATAAGTATTTTGTGTAGAAGAAGGTCATGTTAACATAAGAAATATACACAATATGTCTTTAGGGAAAGCATTTTAGCAATACAAGTAATCAAAAATGGATGAATGTACTTTTTGTGGTTGAAGGCTACATTTTCATTTTTTAATTGCTTAATTCACAGCCCAGAGGATACATTAATAAATAAAGCAACATCTCACTATTGAATCATTCTAAACTGAGACCCAAGATGAAAACAACAGCACTCACTGACTGTCATACTATGGGGCTATGAGAACAATTTTAACAATAGGACAAGCTATGTCTGTAGCAGTCTAAAAAGATCCAAAAGATCTTGTCCACACTGTTTAAACTTCATTCAGAAGTTCCCAATCCCGGT